ATTCATGTTACAGTGAATAAACCCTCCCTTAGATTATCCTTTATCCCAAGAGAGCTGCTTTTTCCCTTGGCCAACTCATATCAAGGCATTAATGAGTTCCCACGTGATCCCACTGCTCACCCACTGCACTGTGTCCAACAGTAGTTTGGGCTATGAAAGGGGCCCCACGTTTCCTCTCCTTCTCTCACTCCTTCACTCACTCAGCAGGAATGCTAAGAGGGCGAAGCTGTTTTAATTGAAGCGACGTTAGAAAGGACTCTGATTGTCCTGACCACTGACCCTCTGTCCACCTCGTCCCAGAACCCCTTACTGAAGGGTCTGTTGGCCAGTGGGTGGTGAGCAGTGGTGGAAAGAGTACTGAAAAAATATACTCAAGTAAAAGTACCATTACCTTCCAAAAAATGTAGTGTGAGTTAGAGTAAAAGTACTTGTCCAAAAAACTACTTGAGTAAGAGTAAAAGAGTAGCCTATTTAAAAGTACTCATGAGTATTGAGTAGTGAGTACTGAGCTGTGGATTCTACCCCCTCATAATAAACACTGTACACCGCAGTTTGTGGTCGTTACATGCTTATTTTAATTTTATTTTTATCCATCAACGTGATTGGATAGAGAGTAATAGTTCTCGTGACTTTCGTCAAATATAATTGTGCATAGAAAACTTTAACCGCCAACTGTTTATCATGGCTGCTGGAAGCGCATTCTTCAAGCATCAATTCAGTCGCATCTTCCTCTAACTTAATATGTTAAGGTAAATTTCGGATTTCTGCTTACTAAATGATTTGTATATATGCTTGCCTATCTACACGGCCTGAAATTTGGTGTGAGGTTGCGGGTATTGCATACAGTGTTAACTCACATAAGTGCCACATTCGGTAAATTCCCACTCACTTATTAGACGCGTGATCTGCGCTGCCTCGTCTCTCTCTCTCGCGTGCATTCTGCAGCAGTCACTTGGATAAGTCGTTGTTACTTGTTGACTTTTGATGAGTTTGATGAGACTTTTTCAAACTCATCAAAAGTCAACAAGTTCAACAAGCAACAACGACTTATCCAAGTGACTGCTGCAGAACGCACGCATAAGTGAGTGGGAATTTACCGAACGTGGCACTTGCGTGAGTTAACATTGTATGCAATACCCGCAACCTCACACCAAATTTCAGGCTGTGTAGATAGGCAAGCATATATACAAATCATTTAGTAAGCAGAAATCCGAAATTTACCTTAACATATTAAGTTAGAGGAAGATGCGACTGAATTGATGCTTGAAGAATGCGCTTCCAGCAGCCGTGATAAACAGTTGGCGGTTAAAGTTTTCTATGCACAATTTGATTTGAGGAAAGTCACGAGACCTATTACTCTCTCTCCAATCACGTTGATGGATAAAAATGAAATTAAAATAAGCATGTAACAACTACAAACGGAGGAAAATAGCGGAGTAAAAGTACCGATACATCACTTAAAATGTACTCAAGTAAAAGAAAAAGTACACAATTTTTTAACTACTCAAAAAAGTACAATTACTGATAAAAACTACTTAATTACTGTAACGTGAGTATTTGTAATTCGTTACTTCACACCCCTGGTGGTGAGGAGGGTGTTCTTCTGCCTTGAATACACCTAATTTGGGCTCCAATTAAAGAAGCCTTTCAGGGAAGCACCGCCAACGAAAGAAAGCCAATGAGCAACTGCCAATGAGCAACTGCCAATGAGCAACTGTTGGGCAGGCGCGCATGGAGGAATGAGCTCAGAATGAAAGCCATTTGCTTGTCATGTCTCTTCTGAGTTGCACTGGCAGCTCAGCTGAGCAAAAGCACACAGAGTGGGGCGAGCGAACAAAGGGGTCAGAATGACTACTTGGCTTTCTCTCTGTTTCCGTCCTGCTGTTTGAGCCACATTAACCCTCTTATTCACTGCTATATATTACTGCGATGTCTGAGGGCTGTTGATCTGATTCTAAAAACTGTTGTACCCAGCGGTGTCCTCTCGACAAACACTGCCTTGTCTCGTTTGTCGTTTGAAACATTCCTTCATGAATTTCGGTATTCATGGCTATACTGGGTTTAAAAGCCCTGTGGATGTCTTACCATTGAGAGGAGGATTGGGAAGAGCATCGTGGATGTTCCGAACCAGAGGGTAAGATACAAGCTCGGGGTTTGTGCATGGAAGCTTCTTCCCGTGGAAACCCTGACAGCCTTAAGCAGAGACAAAGAAAGTCAGTCAGGAAATACCAACAACATATGGAGACATGGAAAAAAAACGTGCTAGAGATACAGAGCAAAAGGTTACCTTGGTCAACACAGCATTTCTTTATTTGTGCATTTCTTTTTCTGAAATAAAAACACAGGTAAATATCACAAACCCTGACAAGAATATGTACGGGCCATATTTCACCCCAAAATCAAAAGAAAGGACATAATACATTTTCTATTTTCTATTTAATTTAATTCCTATTTAAAAAAATTTAAATGTATGTAATACAAATAAAAATTTGATTAAATTAAAATTAAATTAGCATGGAAGCTTCTTCCCGTGGAAACCCTGACAGCCTTAAGCAGAGACAAAGAAAGTCAGTCAGGAAATACCAACAACATATGGAGACATGGAAAAAAAACGTGCTAGAGATACAGAGCAAAAGGTTACCTTGGTCAACACAGCATTTCTTTATTTGTGCATTTCTTTTTCTGAAATAAAAACACAGGTAAATATCACAAACCCTGACAAGAATATGTACGGGCCATATTTCACCCCAAAATCAAAAGAAAGGACATAATACATTTTCTATTTTCTATTTAATTTAATTCCTATTTAAATGTATGTAATACATGTATGTAAAATGTATGTAATACAAATAAAAATTTGATTAAATTAAAATTAAATTAAACCAAATATAGCATGGGGACATAACATTAATATAACTAACAATAGTATATTTTTTTATTAAAAAAGTAATGAAACTGATTTTAAATGAAGAAAAATGATACAAAAGCATGTCCAAATATTGAGTATAGATTAATACAATAATTAATACAATAGAGCATAACAAATTATACAATATTTAATTAAAATTTAATGCTATTGATTTAACATAAAAAAAATATATTTTTTTTGCAAACCACAGATTAAGATAAAATAACATTTAATATAACAACTTGCATAACATTTTCTTATAGAACAGTTATGGAATTTCCAATGTTTTATTCATAAAGGTTGCTGTGACAACCTGTAACAGTACTTGATTTAATTAAACATTTTTTTTTTAAGTAATTCTTTATAGGGAACAATAAGGCCTGGTTTCATAGAGAGGGCTTAGGTTAAAACAGGATTAGGCAATAGGTCAATTAGGACATTTAAGTAGTTTTTATAAACATGCCTTAGAAAATAACATTACTGGTATGCATCTTGAGACAAAACAAAGGCACTGACATAATTTAAGATCAGTCAGTGCAAGTTTCTTTCAGTTGAAACAGCTCAGATTTACATTTTAGTTTGGGATTAGGCTTAAACCTTGTCTGTGAAACCGGGGGTTAGTGTGTTACCTTCTCCACCAAATAAGCCCAGCTAAAAGACAACCCACACACAGAGCGGCTCCCAAAACCATGCCTGCCACTAATATCACTGCTTGACTGGGGCCTGAAGGGAAATAATAATAAAAGCTTCAGTCTTTAAAAACAAATCTACTATGAGTTTACACATTATGTTAGTATTAGCAATCATATTAGCAGATTTCCTTACAAATTCACCTCACCTGAGCTTCTTGTGACAACAGGACCTTCAGTGGGGAGTGTGTCTAGAGGCACAGTCTCTGTGGGAACTGCCTTCCCAGTATTCAATTCTGATTTAAAAAATTGAGACAATTCATCATAGGCTTAAAAGACTAAGAATTCAATTCATTCTTACAAGATTTACTACAGTGCGCCTGGAATTTGACCAATATAATGGTCTTGTATTGTCAATATGTACTATAAAAATATTTAAACTGAAGTTTATGTGGCATAAAGGAACTTAAAAGAGATTCTGGGGCAGACCCTCACCATCTCCGTGGGAACGGGGTCTGAGGGGGGCAGAAGGGCAGCCCAGCACTTGAACCAGTGCAGAGGCCCTTATATGCCACTTCTGGGGTTTCAGGAGGAGGTAGCGTGCTGCTACTGGAGGAATCAGACTGTTGAGTACCGTCACATGACCATCAGAATGGGCCTCAAACACCTTAAAATAGACAGAAAAAATGGTAATATGAAAATAAAAGATTACACAGTCCTGCATACTGAAAAAATACTGCTGATTTGCCAAAAAATATGACCTAATAGCACGCACAATTTTTCCCCACAAAATAAGAATGTGAATATATTAGGTGTAAAATAATATCTTCAGAATCATTCATACATGTAAAGAAAAATCAGCTAAGAATTGAACAAATAGTTGTAACCTGGCTCAGAGGAAGATAGGAATAATGTCTTTGTGGACGTTTTTCTGGTATAATACAAGATGACTTCACCTTACAAATGTTTTTTGAAAGCAAAAATGCTACAAAATGCATATATTTTGTGAATAAGTGTGACATGGCACCAAACACAACATTCCAAAATTAGTAAGACACTTGATAAGATTTCATTCAGCCAATATGTTATTTTTGTCATAAAATAAATACCTAGCAATGTACATAAAAGAGGAACTATTAGGATCTGTTTACAAAGAATGCGTTCCTGTGTCCAATTGTGCCGTTTATTAATTTGCTTTCCTATTTAAATGTGTAGCATTTTGTACCTTCTTGTCTTTGCTCGATCCCGCTTTGTAGACTTTCCAGTTTTTGCGGTCTTTGCTGAACATGAGGGTGTAAGATTCAATGTAGTAATGTGGCATACCCTTTGTTATGATGCCTGAAAGCAGATGTAAACATTGGATTTTTTTCTGTAACACTTACTATTGTAATAGCTCAGCAGAGGTTTGCACAATGATTATTAGAGGTTGATCTCTGACCTGTGACACTACTCTTGTTCCACAGCTCAATCTCCATCCATGGCTGCTGATCCCCAGAGCTCGCAGCCCACTGAGATCCCCCGTGTCCTGGAGACCATGAGGCCCTCTGACCTACTCTGTTCACCTCCTCCCACACTGAAGAAGTGTTATAGGCCACCACCGGTAGCTCCCTGTCACACTCTGCGCATGGAAGAGAACAGAACTTGCTCAAACAAGTAAAAATTATACTTTCCTCACACCTCAGATATAATTGTTAGTTTTCAGTTGTTAGTGTTTATCTTCTAGCAGTGTATAATTACAAATAGGCACAAACAGCATGTTGAAGGTGTGAGTATCATGTAGCAGGTGTAACTGTGTGTTAGTTAAACTGTAATTTATTCCTCAACACTGACACGCAGGCTCAATCCTGGTATTAGACATTTGCAGTTTAAGAAATACTATTAAAAATAAATTAATCCAGTGCAAAGCCTTAATTCAAGTCTATAGGTCTGTCAAATTTAATGTTAGTAGATTAAATTAGCAATGAATTCAAATAATATCAATAGGAATAACTACAGGGAAAAATAAGTTATTACCTCTGTGGAAGACAAGCCGCTTATCTGACAAGGAACCGTTTCAGTGCAGCGCAAATCAGCATAGAATCAATGTTATTATTTCTGTGCTGTTTACCACAAAAATACGTAAGTAATCTGTCTTTTTACTGACATTCTGTTGAAAATGTGTTGTATTCTGTAGAATGATTTGTGCTCTTTCGTTAATAATAATCACCATGTTTTGTGTGTTACAGGGGCCTGAAGAAAGAGCAGAAAATGTCTCAGATCCAGAGACAACACAGTCAAGCAAACCAGGTACTAATGTTTTTAGATAATTTTTCATGATAATGAACAGCAATAGACAAAAATCAACCGCTTTTTACAAAAAAAAAAAAAAAAAAGATTATATAAAAAAGAAAGAAATGTGTATATATGTATGTGTGTGTGTGTGTGTGAGTGTAAAAAAAAAAACATTATATTTACTAATATTATAATTTAATATTAATTTGAAAAAATGTAATGTTACTGTAAAATAATAAAATGGTACATTTACACTAATCATATTTATTAGATAAAATACGTTTTATATATATATATAATTTTTATTATTATTTTTTTTTTACATGGAGCAGGAGCTTTTCTCATGGAGGCCACCATGGTGAAATCACACGACCAGCTTAATGCTACTCACTTTATTTAGTGGCCCTCCTGTTATTGGCATATATTATATTTTATATTGTTTTTATTTTTATACCGTATATTTTAACTCATTGAATAAATTAACCATGGCTGACTGTGAATAGCACATTTCTCCAATGACATCGGTAAGTGAAAACCTTGGTTTTTGTGTGATGCTGGATCCACACCAGTAGGTGTCTATATATATCTTACACAACATGCCCCACACTCACGTTTTCGACAGTACTCCATTAGAGAAATTTGCCTCATACAAGGTAATGCCCCTCTGCAGAGACACGTTGATTATGCCCCCCATACTGTCTGAAATAACGCCCGCATGGATTGCAGCTTTGCATAATACAGAGGTCTAGAAACACACACACACACACACACACACACACACACACACATTAAAACATTGTCATTCAAGTAACTCCTTTTATCAGAAGTGTCTGTTGTAAGCTTTTACAAACATCCCTATATGGTTGTAAATTCAAATGCCATGACTAATAATCCCACTATTGCACACAGATAATGTTCCATCTTACATCCCGGTATCCTTGTCCATGCCAGCCCCAAATTTCTCCTGTGACACCTTTGCAGCCTGCAGGACAGAATGCACTGGAACACAAGTGAGTCCAGGATTCAGATATTAAACATTAATATGTAACCTACAAGAGTGGGACTATTCAGAGTCATGAAAAATTGTATTTTGTTTTAATGTCACGTCATTATTGAAGATTTCTTCTTACCTAATCTGTTGAGAGGAGAAATGTGTCCCTCGATGCAGACATGAAATGAGCTCTATGGGATAGAAACAGCATTGATATGAACAGCACAGTTACAATCAGAACATGTGCTCATATTGACTGGCTTAGTGTCGACTACATTTACCAAACTGACTTGAGCTTTTCCATCACAAGAATAAGTTACATTTTAAAATACATTAAAACAAAAAAACAAAAAAGAAAAAAAAACAGTTCTTTTAAATTCACAATATTACTGTTTTTACTGTATTTTTGAACAAATAAATTTTTATATATAAATAAATATATATTTTTTTTTGCATACAAAGCCAAGAGAAGATTTGCCTTCAAAACTTAAAAATTCTTCTTAAATTACTCTTAAATTATGCATGTCAGCCAGTCAGAAACTGCCATGAGTGGCTTCGACTGTGTGGTCAGGTGATGGTTAAGCCGCGTGCTGTGATTGTCAATACAGGAGGAGAGAGCATACAGCATTCCATCTACTTCAGTGTGTGGCCAAGCACAGGGGCCTCTACGTATTCAGGCCAGGAGCGGCAGTCTGCTGCCCTGCTTACAAAGCAAACACTCTGAATCTCGGCCAAGGAGGAGAGCTGCATTCCAGTCGGTCACCCTAACGCACATTGTAAAATCCTTACATCCAGGGCCGACCCATTAAAGTCCTCCTACACACTGGGCCTTGGTCCCACCATAAAAAATATAATCATTATACCTAGTGTTCATTTAGTATTATTTATGTACAATCATATTTTTCATTAATATTTTGAATTACATTTTATTTTAATTTTAGTTTTAGTTTTTATTGATATTATGTTCTTTTGTCTTTTTGTTTAACTATTGCCATTTAGATTTTAGTTTTTCAGTGAGTAATTTTAGAACTTCAACTTAGTTTTTTTCACCTAATATTTAAATGTTATTTTATTTCAGCTTTACAATTTAACATTAAAAAAAAAAATAGTTTTAGTTAATGATATCAACACTAATTATATCTAATATACAGTAATAAATAAAGGCTGACCACATAGTCTACCTTGACACATGTAAGGATGTTTATTTAGCGATCGGTGCATGACCTCCAGTAGGGCGGTTCACATGTGATTTTCGAAACAAGAATAAACAGTAGTTGAGATTAGGATGGGAACTGCTCCCACTTGCAGAGTCAGCTGAAGTGCTGTTTACTGAGTAAGCTGTACATTTAGAGAACAAACAGTCACTGGTGTGTTTACTCTGATCGTGTACAACTCGCTTCGAGCTGGAAGAACCATGGGGCCACATGGTATAAGCTCTTATTTTGTTGATGGATTTGTGGATTCTTTTTTGTCTACTGTTTATAGGTGCACAGAATGGAGCGGGATGTGTGCAGGACATGAGCTATTACCTGAGTGCTGATTGGTTGAATAGGACATGACAAAGCCCCGTCCTGAACGGTGAGTGCCGGAGATGAAACGCACCGTGACTTCATTAGTACTCACAGATATATTCCTGTTTGTGGAGGATAACTGCCCACACAGAGGACCTGTGAAGCACAAACCACATGATATAAACAAGCACAGTAGATTTAATGCATTTTTAGATTCAACACTCAATCCAGCACACCTTCACTGCCATAAAAGGCTGTTCATGCACACTTATGTGACCACGTAACCGTCATGCTACAGCAGAGTGGAATGCAGCATGCAAGCTGCAGTCATGCTATGATCATGTGACTGGGGAGCTAAAGAGCAGCATGAGGTTGGATCTCTGGAATTTCTCAGTAACAACATACTGTGAGTGTGAATGAGCTGGCTATAAAGTTAGAGTTGAAGGTGGCTGTAAATAACTGTACTATAAGTAAGTTTAATACTAATTTTGTGTCTTTTGGGGTTAAGAAGTCATAGCAATGTGTCAGGCCTGATTCAAGGAAGGACTTCTTACCACTCAGATTTAATTATATTATTCCATTAAATTATATTTAATTAAATTAATTTATTAATTATTAAATCATTTTAAATATTAATATAATCTCATATGTAGCATATATTTTTTAGTTTTTTAATTTCTATATAATTATATTATCATATTCAATCATGTTTAATTATATAATTATATTTAATTATATTATTTAATGTGTAACTTTAAATATAATATTTAAATATGACACCCATAGCACATGACAAAGTAAATCCTAGACAAGTTTAAAATAACAATGATTTAATTTATATTTAATTATATTATTTAATGTATAATTTTAAATATGATATCCATAGTATATGAAAAAGCAAATCCTGGAAAAGTATTACATATCAGTTTTTTAATTTATATGCAATTATATTACTATATTAATTTATATTTAGTTTATATATATATTTATATTTACTATAAATTTTTTAATATACCATTTTAAATACTAAATATAATTCACATGATATCCCATAGCATATGAGAAAGTAAATCCTATGGGTATTTTATATCAGTTATTTAATGTATATTTAATTATGTTGTTATATAAAAGATTTAATTATTTATGTATATATACCTTTGCAGCCTGCAGGACAGAATGCACTGGAACACAAGTGAGTCCAGGATTCAGATATTAAACATTAATATGTAACCTACAAGAGTGGGACTATTCAGAGTCATGAAAAATTGTATTTTGTTTTAATGTCACGTCATTATTGAAGATTTCTTCTTACCTAATCTGTTGAGAGGAGAAATGTGTCCCTCGATGCAGACATGAAATGAGCTCTATGGGATAGAAACAGCATTGATATGAACAGCACAGTTACAATCAGAACATGTGCTCATATTGACTGGCTTAGTGTCGACTACATTTACCAAACTGACTTGAGCTTTTCCATCACAAGAATAAGTTACATTTTAAAATACATTAAAACAAAAAAACAAAAAAGAAAAAAAAAACAGTTCTTTTAAATTCACAATATTACTGTTTTTACTGTATTTTTGAACAAATAAATTTTTATATATAAATAAATATATATTTTTTTTTGCATACAAAGCCAAGAGAAGATTTGCCTTCAAAACTTAAAAATTCTTCTTAAATTACTCTTAAATTATGCATGTCAGCCAGTCAGAAACTGCCATGAGTGGCTTCGACTGTGTGGTCAGGTGATGGTTAAGCCGCGTG